ATATATATATATATATATATATATATATATATATGTATATATATATATATATATATATATATATATATATATATATATATATATATATATATATATATATATATATAGGGCTGGCGCGAGTAGGGGTCACGTGAGGGGGTGTCATTACAACTTTTGCCGACTAAACAAACAAATAAACAAAATGTCCTCGTTTTTTAAAATTTGCCGACTGCCATAACGACATTTACCGACTGACTGTTTAAATTTACCAACTAACTTATCGAAAGGGTCTATATATGCCGACTGACTAGTCAAAAAGGTTCAAACTTGCCGACTAAATAAACAAAAAATCATTGATGGGAGGGGTGTCACACCCCCACACACCCCATCGCGCCGGCCTTGTATATATATATATATGTATATATATATATATATATATATATATATATATGTATATATATATATATATATATATATATATATATATATATATATATATATATATATATATATATATATATATATGTATATATATATATATATATATATATATATATATATATATATATATATATATATATATATATATATATATATATATATATATATATATATATATATATATATATATATATATATATATATATATATATATATATATATATATATATATATATATATATATATATATATATATATATATATACGACTTTTGAAATTACTTTAATTATGACCCTTGACATTACTTTTAAAAGAACTTTATACTATAATTTAATACAACAAAATAGTTACAATTGAAATTATGAACTCGAACAGCTTTGATTTGAACTTTTTAAAAATAAATGATTTATAAAAATGTCCTCATAATATATGCAAACTTACATTTCGGCAGTTTTTTATGTTTGCGAAAGTTAATTTTCAGATATATAGCGAACTTTAAACTTTTTTTTTATATATATATATATATATATATATATATATATATATATATATATATATATATATATATATATATATATATATATATATATATATATATATATATATATATATATATATATATATATATATATATGTATATATATATATATATATATATATATATATATATATATATATATATATATATATATATATATATATATATATATACTTATATATATATATATACACTTGCCTCAGAAACGTAAGATCCGTGGTTCAAACCCCACCTCTGGGCAAGTTTTGCGACAACGGTTGGGAAGGAGGCGTGAACTTCCCATTAAATGCTCTTCCGCGGTGCTCTGTGATAAGACCGTAAGGACTTCTTGGGGCACCTTAACCAACTTAAAAAATAAAAAATAAAAAAAAATAAATATATATATATATATATATATATATATATATATATATATATATTTAATATTTCTCTATATAAAATACAGTTCTTGTTCACAAATATATAAATAATAAACAGACAGGGACTCAAAGAAGATATTGATGGCAAAATACCAACCTAATCTTTTCATTGAGTCCCAATAGATCATAACAATAATAGTAAAATATGGTAAATAAATTAGGTAGAAAATTTAGATGAAAAATAGTAAAAAAGAAAACACAAATTTAAAAATACAAATTGGGAGAAATGAAAATAATGTTTTTTTATTTTTTTTTTTTGTTTCAAAATTAGTACAAAGTCCATATAAATACAATTGTACGTTTAATAACCCATGTCCTAAAATGTTTATATTGAAGAATACAAAAACAATTATATGTACATGTTGTAGTGTAAATGTAATCTAAACCAATGAAGAAAAGCTACATCAGGCTTCTCTATGTTGACACAGATAAGCTGCTCAAAGCAGCTGGTCAAAAAAGTTGATACACAGATTTTTTAAAGAAATGTACAAAAGGTGAACCAACTGCTTCCTGTAAAAGAACTTTCCAGTGATTTGTTACTCTATTTATAAAAACGTTTTCTCGTTCAATCCAACCTTTGATTAGTTTAGCTGTTTGTGTCCATGGAGATTGTAATTTGTTGTTGAGTTTAGTAGGATTTGGGGGAAATGAAAGTTGACTTAATCAATCTGATGAGTAAACTTGAAGTGTTAGATTAGGTCACTTCTATTCCTGCGATTCTTAAGTGATGTTAGTTTTAGCATTTGTAATCTTTTTTCATATCGTTGATGTTTTATCTCAGATATTGTTTTTCTTACACGTCTTCGGACTTTCTCTATCATCACAATATGATTTCTTAGGTGAGGAGGCCAAACCTGTCTTGCAAAATCTAGATGTGGACGAATGTGTATAGTGTTTTCCATAAAACTAGTCTGCGGCTACGAAAAGCTTTTTTGAGGCGAATAAGCATTTGATTTGCAATTGAATTGCTGTTTTGACTTAAGTTTTGATCTTTAAGCCGTTGGAAAAAATAATCCCAAGGTCTCGTTGAACTATCGTTTTTTTTAATGCACAACTGGTTTCATCTGACTGTTTTATTGTGTATGAGTGTACTTGTTGATGACTTGTTAATGCGTCCAACATG